TTAAGTAAATTTGATTTATTAAGATAATAAGATGCATCAGTGTACACTCTGTGGTCTCGCTGATCAACAAAGAAATACTCGTGACATACTGTATGAGTCCTCATTCTAATGACTAGGACTTTTTTTTCTGTAATCAAACCCTCATAGCAACATGGATAAACTCTGCCACTCCTCATTATTCTGCAATTCTAGTGATGGACAATTAGTGTGTAACCTTCACTCACATGCTGAAATTGCTCTGTGCATGCATTGTAGTTTCATATTGCAGTCTTTGTAAAGTCATTCTGTCTTTCTAAGATAATTGGGATTGTAGTACTTGTTAACCTCAGAGTATAGTGGGAGGATAAAAGAAAATGTGTGATAAGATAGTATAGTGTGGTTTGAGTAAATAAATTATTTACAGTATATCATTTTGGATTTTTAAAAGATTTTCTTAAAATAACCAATTGCATTCTGCTCAAACATTTCACCTTTAAGGGAATTGTTCTTGGTGCAGTGTAGGCAAAATTCTGGCAATTCAGTCAACCATGCCCTTAGTCTTCAATAGACAAAGGAAATAGGCTATAGTTTAGCATTGTTCATTAAAATCCACAGCAGTTATTCCTTTAAAAATCATTATTGTTCTAAATAGTGTCCTACTTTCAAACTGAAAAGTTAAACTAATTCAAGTCCTGTGGGTCACAGGCAGCAGTCATCTTGGTTTCATGGGAAGCATTGCTACACTATTCCTATTACTCCAGATTTGCTGCCTCAAGATGCATCTCTTGTTCTCATTTATAGAAAACCGGTCGGGCACTATTTTGCCTCAAGGTAATTTTCATTATTTCAGTGAAATGATGGTCTGATGGTTCAGTTAAAAGTTAGTTTGTCTTCCTGGGAAATTATTTAAACTGTTAAAAAGTAGAATTCCTCTCTGAGTTTCAAAGTGAAGGTTTTTGGTATTAGCTATTCCAGAGCTCCCTAGCTAGGCAGTCACCATGTGATTACTTTTAAACCAAGTACACTGGTTTAATGATATGCAGTTTGGAAGGAGGCTTTTCCCATCTTGCCTGCACTGCGGGGCTTTGTCGCACAATCAGCCCCAGCTCCCCTTCTAGCAGTGGCAGTAATGGCAGGTGGAGCCCTGAAAGCTGTCGAAAGGAGGCACTGTGCAGAGTGCTTGAAAGCTTTTTCTCTCCTTTGAGTTGCTCATGCCTGCAGGACATACAGAATGAATTGTAGGTCAGGTTTTTTAGAAGAGAGTTTCTTTGTACAAATTATTTTGTGTGTATAGACAAAGTCAGAAATGTATGTACCATGGTTACTTTCCTTTAAGCTGCAGACAAGTGCTTTTAGATACATAGAGAATAATTGCTTCTGGAAGGAAGTATATATACTTTGGAGTAGCACATCGAGGAAAGTAGCCATAGCACATACATGCTGGCTCTTCTGTATGCAAGGAGACAATTCAGGAGTCTCAACAGAAGTTGACTTGGCTGAGGATAGAAGAACTGTAGTAATTTTGTTGAAAATTTACTGTAGTTATTAAAAAAATGCATCCAGTACATGCTGTAGAGAAACATACTTGCCTTTGACAGCAGTCATAACTTTGGCGCTTCCAGTTGAGGTTCTGCATTTCAGCAGTGGCAATTCACTAAGCGTTGTCATCAGCATTCATCGTCTCTAAGCTGTGCTGTCTCTAAGCATGGTTAGAGTATTGTAGGAAAACCAGCAAATTCTCCTTTTACTTCCACTTTGCATCACTAATTCCTCTGAACAAAATTGTTCTCCGGATCTTTTGGTATATTATCTGTCAGCATGTTCCCATAAGTTAGAGTATGGCACAGAAGGTACAGTATATAAGCCCGTATGCACAGCTGCTGCCTGTATGACTAGGACTTTCTTCTTCATTGTGAGAATTTTTGTATGGATTTCAGAAGAGAAAACAGGTTAGTGGATAAATGAATGCAGCCAATCATTATCCTAGGATTTCATTTTCATTGGATGCTTGTTAGATATCTATGGGTCTTTGTTCGATACTTGGAAATTTGCAGCTCCTTGTAAAATTCGACTGAGTCACGGTTCTTTTATTTAGTTTGCTGGAAGGATGTTCTGCAGAGAAGGGGTATCTTGACAGGTTTTTAACTGGCGTAAAGAGAAGTTGAATAGTTCTGTTGTAATAAAGAGCAGGGGAAGGAAGGAAGGAAGGAAGGAAGCAAGCAAGCAAGCAAGCAAGCCAGCCAGCCAGCCAGCCAGCCAGCAGAGGAGCAAGTGGGGAAGGAGTTGTGCATGTCCTCAAGGATGAAGGCATCAAGTTTAACCACAAAACAAAGGAGGAAAATAACTAAAATACTCTTTAAAAGTTAAGAAGGTTAATATATTTAGGTACAATAACCTTAGCACCTTCACAGAAGTAGCCCAATTTAGCTTGCAATCAGGTGAAATGAATGCTGCCTGAAAGATACTGAATCAGTTTGCAACTAAATGGGATGATGGACTCTCTACGTCATTTAATCTCTGCCTCAGTTCCTGTCTGCAAAACAGTTGACATGCTCCATGATTTTCTCCCACTCTCAGTTTATCAGGTTTATTTCAATAAAAGACCTAGGAAGCAGGGACTCTGCCTTACTAGCCAGTATGTTTCTATCCAGTATCTAGCCCTACTCTCATTTGCTGTGCTGGGTATCACGGTGATACTATTCAGAGGAGCAGTGACCTCTGTGTGTACTTGAATTGTGTGTATCATATATCATTGTACACAACAAGAAGTCTGCAGATTGCTTTGCTTTATACCATTCTCAAGCAGCTTATCCATAGACGTGCAGGTCTAGATACAATAACTGAGTAAGGGAAATGTAAAGGCTTGGCACGTTTCCTATAGAGTCTTTGATTTCCTTTTTTTGCTCATCCTTCTGCCTTGACAGACGATGTTTGAAACATTATCATAACTTTTTTTCCATGGTTGTTGGGTTGGTTCCTGTCAGTAGAAGCACTGGTTTACAAGGCCTCTAAATCCTTACTCCCATTTCTGTGAAATTACCTCAGTTGCTGTGGTGTAAATCTTTCTTCAGTGAGGCAAACCAGATTAAGGGAGCTGATGTAGTCTAAAAATAAGCCAGCAGAACCAATGGTTACTAATCCACATCAGTTCCCTGGTGCCATTCCCTGCACAGAGAAAAGTGCTGGAGATTAGTGGAATTAAAATAACCTTTAGGCTGTGAACAGCCCACAAGGCTCACTATGTCATGATGTACTGCAATACTTCCTACTTGTAACAGCAGCGAGCTCTTTCATTAAAGCTCTGCCCCATTATGCCAAATACACAAGGCTTCTGAAATGACTGTCCAACTTCTTGGGGTCACATGCTTTTTACTGCCACAGTACTCATGAAAATGTACGTGTTCATCTAACAGAGGCATGATGAAAGCACCCACAGGCTTATCAACCTCTTCAAAATATATCTATCTCAAAATGATGTACTTAACACATAGAAACTTTTCCTTTTGACTCATTGTTCTAAGTTTATCTCCCCAAATCCCACCCTTGGATTTTTATTTACCTTTGACTTTGTAGCTTATGGTAGTTCACTCATTTTACAGTGGCCTTCAGAGATTCTTTGGGTAGAAGTTATTTTTACTGAATTAATTTCTTTTCTATGTAAAATTTAGCTATAATCAAAATATCCACTGTATTAAATGCTTTTGTTCATATGCTCTCTGTTACTAGAAGACTAAGATTTAGTTTTTCTCAACTCCTAATGAACCCATTGTGCCTCTGCTTGCGTGAGTTGTATGTACATTCCTTTGGGTATTAATGCCTCTGTGCTACCAATTTCTTCAGTCTTCTGACGGTTTGCTGTAACAGGACAGACTTACCTACCTATTGCAAATGATGCATTCTGCAAATATTGTATTCTAGAAAGTCAAGGTTTGTAATAAGAAGCAATATAATTTATTAGGTCAAGTCTGACATAGTCAGACCAAACCCCATAAAAGTTCTCAGGCATATAAACTCTTCTTCACATCTGAAATGGAAGCAACATATTTCAAGCAAAGTACAGAAATTGGTCTCAGTTCAGTTTCATTATTGTTAATCACTGTGACTGTCTGAGAGAAAAGGATAGTTAACATCTATGAAGCTGAGGGATCTGTTAGTAAGGAGAGAGGTGATAAGGTCAGTAGCCTCTACTGGGTAGAGAGAGAGGGACAGATTATTATGCCCTGTGGAGTCACAAGGGTTAGCAGAAGAGATACTGTGAAGAAAATTATACCATGTGAGATAAACTAGCCTTCTTACTGAGCTCTTGATTTTATGAAATCAGAGCAGAATAATAAACTTTATATCCAGGCTCACCTTCTGAAGTTTTACAGATACTGCAAGTGACCACAACTGTTTTGAAATGGAGGAATGCTGACAAAAAGAGACTCCTGATTTTTAATGATGAGTCCTTTAAAAGTATGCAGTCTGACCTCTCTTGCCAGCATTGAGGCTCTAGTGTCTGCAAATGACTTCTTATGTAAAGGCATACTCATGTGCATGCTACACGTGCCGTAAAGACCCCTACTGCCTGATTCATATCAAAAGAAGATAACAGAAGTCACTCAAGCCTGAAAATAGGGCAGGGAAGATACAGCTTGCAGAAGGAGGGATTTGTGTGGCTTGGTTACAGAATCTGGTGAATGATAGTAGCTTCATGTTTGTGGTCATGGAGCCATCCAGAAATATCAAGTCTGGAAAGCCAAGATGCCTTTCAAAAATTTACTCATCCAGCATGATTACTGAGAGCCTCTGCCTTTCCAAATAGGTGAACATTTCCACAGAGACCTAAAACTAAAGGAAATTAGAATTGAAAGATTTATTTGAATTCTGTTTCACATGAGCATTGCTGCACAGGTGCTCTCGAAACACTAAGAAATATTTTATATGCAGTGTTTTTATGAAGCTTAAAAAATTAGCAGCTCGGTGAGCAACCGTCTGTATGTCATCACAATGTCAATTTATTTTCTGTGCTATTATTGCAGGTGATTATGTAGTCATGACTATATACTTCGACTTAAGTAGAAGAATGGGATACTTTACTATTCAAACATACATTCCCTGTATATTAACAGTTGTTCTTTCCTGGGTATCCTTTTGGATTAAAAAAGATGCCACACCAGCAAGAACAGCATTAGGTAAGTTGTTAATAATTCCCTTTTCTGCTCGCTTTGTGTCGTTTCTACACTATCATTTGAAAATGTCAGCTTCCTTTCAAAGAGACCACTAGCTATATGCTTTGGATTATTGCTACTACATCTTGCAGATCCAGATCTACTTATCACTGAAGCCTCTGGTTTTCTGCCTTTAACAGTGTGATTAAAAGTAAACTACCCTGACCCTTTGGAATGACACTGCCACCCATTTTCCATAATATTCTAGAATTAATGTCTGTCTCCTTGTTCTCAGTATGATATTTTAGTGACATTTTTGAAGAATAAATTAATTACACTGCTGGCTTCCTTCCCTGCTGAAACTCTCCCTTACAGAGCATTATGTCTTATATATACAGAAAACTGTGGGATATAATAATATTAACTCATGCAAAGTGTTTTAGCTTGCGTGATGAAGTTAAACTCCACACTAATTGTATAGATATTTTTCATAGATTGTGGAGATTTATGCTGGTATAGGTTTTCCAGCAGCTCATTTATGTCAGGAGCAGCGTGTGCATTTTGGCATTGTGCTTTAGGATACACTTAGAAATGCTAACCATTTATTCTTATGTCTATAGGAAAACCTGCAGTTTTTGCTTGCATCAAGGGCATAGGGCTATATACTAGGCAATTATAGGTATATACCAGAACTGAAGAAACCCCAACATTTTAGTCCAGACTGTGGTTGCCGGGGCTGCCAATACTAACTGATTCAGAAATCTACCAGTCTAGTAAAAAAGGGGAGGCTGTGTCAAGGTTTACATATCTGTTTTCAAGCATGGAGATTACCGTTCCCAGCTATTTATTGTTTCCTCCTGCTGGAGTTTGTTACCATCGCCAGTTAACCAGCTGGACTCTCTAAATCATTTCAGTTTGAAAGAATAAATTATTAAAAACTGACCTGCCTGACTTTTTGGACTGAAATCAGACAGGAAGCATTTGTAGGAGCAACTGAGTCCCCAGGAGAGGGTGATACTGCTGCAAGGAAAGTAGCAGATACTGCTGCGCTACTTGATCTCCGGAGGAATACACCTTGTTTGACAATGCAGCCTTTATACAGTTGTTCAAAATGACTTGTCCTGTTTCAGTCTGTCTCTCTCCTGCACTAATACATCTGAGCAACCACAAATTTTGAAGGTGCTGTGGTTTCTAACATAAAGGCCCTGAAGGGGAAAATAAAAAAGAAGTGCTAAGGAGACTTTGAAGTCCATTCAGTCTGAATGAGATTTTAGCTGCTAAGTTTTTTGAACTTGTCCAGAAGTCTGATCCCATTTTCTAAATCCTTCACTCATACAAAAAACTTAGGGTCATCTATTCAGGGTGCACAAGGCCCGGATTACAAACATTTTTCCTCCCAAAACTTCTAATGCTTCAATAGCTTTGTAACTTTCAGCTGAATGACAGAAGAAATACATTACCAAAAATATCCTCTAAGTGTAACTCCCTCACTAGCCACAGCTTTATTTAAGCAATGAAGCTATATGCCAGCCATTCCTGCTATCAATCCTTAGGCATCTTCCTAGGGGGAGGTTGTATCAATCAGCTTTAATTCTTAGTGAGTGGTGAGGGGCATCCTTTCAAACCAAGAGCAGCTCAGTGACATGGAGCTATGCAACAGGATCAGTAGAAATAAAAGTCCCAGAGAACATGTAGTAAGACAACTGCAAGCAGCCAACACGGTTTCACACTTTACAGATAATTCTGTACTAAAACCCATTTTGCGTGAGGTCAGCACGAAACCATAACCTGCTGGATTTGCTCCAGGAGTTTGTAAAATTAACAAATGTAGCACTTCTGACCATTATAAGTCATGTGGTGTCATGTTAGCCTGGAGAAAAGGAGGCTGAGGGGAGACCTCATCGCTCTCTACAACTCCCTGAAAGGAGGTTGTAGCGAGGTGGGTGTCGGTCTCTTCTCCCAAGTAACAAGCGATAGGACGAGAGGAAATGGCCTCAAGTTGCGCCAGGGGAGGTTTAGATTGGATGTAAGGAAAAATGTCTTTACTGAAAGAGTGGTGAAACATTGGAAGAGGCTGCCCAGGGAAGTGGTTGAGTCCCCATCCCTGGAGGTATTTAGAAGACGTGTAGATGCGGTGCTTAGGGACATGGTTTAGTGGGCATGGTGGGGTTGGGTCAACGGTTGGACTCGATGATCTTAGAGGTCTTTTCCAACCTCAATGATTCTATGATTCTATGATTCTATGTGGGTCCAGTTTTCTGAGGTTATTTTCCGAGGAAGGAATATTCAGTCCTCACACCGTTCATGTGAGTGCCAAAGTGCCTTTACACTGCGGCTCCAGCAACATGACGGACCCTAAGACTTACAGTTATTCTGTGACCCCCTCCACCTCCAGGACAGCATGAAGATGACACAAAGGTGAGGACAGAGCAGCTGTATGACTGCTTGTTCCTGACTGTGTAGACTTTCCTCTGGTGGCCAGAAAGTTGAGTGTACTTCTCTGCTGAACTCCTTTCTTCTTAAATTGGATGACTCAGTGGAGATAAGGAAAGATTGACCATCCTTCACAATGCTTAAGAGAAAAGGGAGAAAAGGTGTGTAGCCATTTGCATTACTAATTTTCCAGAAGCAGTGTTCATACCCTGTCCCTGAGGGCGGTTCCCCCCACCACACAGCTCTGTTTTCCAATTAATTAGACACGGAAGTAGGTTAGATCATTAGTCATAACAGTCTGACTCTCCCCACCTCACCCCCTCAGCCAGCGGGAACTTCAGAGAAAAAATGTATTCATATACTGAGGTCATGAATTTGAAGTAAGAACACAAAAATGAGATGTTCCAAGGCTATATTCAATGGCTATCATGACTAACTCCTAAAGCTCTGAGGAAGAATTAAATTACTGGGCTAAAATATAACTTTTTTATAAATAAAGTCAAATGACAAGAAAATAATATATATATGGGTCACCTCTTTTTGTGCAGAGTCCACTTGCTCCCAAATCGGCAATGGCCTGTTGACTCTTGGGATGCAGTAAGCAGATGTTCCCAGTTTACTGTAGGTCTGCTTGTATAACGCAACTTATAAATCTGTCTGAGCAACAGCACACATCCACATTTGGATAGTGGTACATGGTGAAATTGTGAGTAATACAGCCAAAGGCAAACCGCTGAAATTGACCTACTAATTAGTTGCAACAACGTGTAGACTCAGTGCACCAAACCTGCTCTGGGTATAGCTGCACTAATGTAAAGGGCTAGCACCAGGGAAATATTTCACTCTCTGAAATTAATGAGTAATTTCCTAAGCTATTGGCAACTACTCAGTTACATGAAGGACAGGCTTTACCCCTTTCTGAATAACACTAAGTAATAAGCTGGAAAAAACAAATGCAATCGGTGTATCTTGCTGTGAGGAAAAAAATGGCACTGTAAGCATCCTTTCAGCAACACTGTCCAGAAGCATCAAAGTGCTCTTTAAAAACTTGGCATCATAGTCCTTTTTTCACATGCACTTTGAGAGGCTGAGGCCCAGAGTGGCAACGTGACTTACTCCAGGCCACCTGAAGAGTCAGTGGGAAGCTGGAAATAGAATTTGAGTGCTGGATGAGAACTGTGTTTTGTGATCCCAGGTTATTCTGCCGTCCATTCAGAGAGAAAAAAAATGGCTCTCTGCTGTTTCTGCTTGTCTCTAGTAATCAAAATGATCTTCTCCCAATGTTCACAGTCAAGAGCAGCCAGCAAGTGTCTGAAGAAAAGTTATGATCTGGGAAAGAATAGGTTGTTTTCCTTGAAGATAAAGGGAATTAAGTTAAACTGAAGCTTTCATTCCAGTTTCCCCCTGCTTTTTCAAAATGGGTATAATAGGTAATAGGACTAGGCAGTTACTACAGAGCAACTTCAAACTGCAGTTTAAAAAAATACAGCGGGTATCAAGGCCAGCAATGTGTTGATGTAAAAGAAGATACAGATGATGTTTAATAAAAAATGAACGTTGCTCTCCTTGTTACTCCATCTTAAGCTCATTCACTAGAAAAACAAGCAAATGATCAAAACAGGTGCCAGACCAAAAGGTGGAGAAATTAAGTTTATAAACAAGTGATAGCATGGTTAAAAGCAGTACACCTTTCCCCCAGTGTCCCATCAACACACCCTTAGGAAAATAAGAAAAAATGAGCCTCGCTGACAAAAGAGTTTCTAACAGCGAAGCTCCTGCTACCTCACTTTGCATACTGTTGTCCAGTAAGGAGCTTTCAAACAGTCATAAGTTTAAATAACTGTTTAGACCAATGATCTAAAGGTTAAAGTGTTCTCATGCATTATGTATTCCTACATCATTTGATCTCCCAGAGAGTCCTTTTTGATTTATCAAACAGCATCTTTGGTATGGAATTTGCTCAGAGAACATAAATGTCACAAAACGGTATTTATACAAAAACTTGTAAGCTCCCACTTACACCTATCTACCTGAAAATTTTGAAGCCAGGTTACTTCAAAGCTGTCCTTGGCTGATATTAAAATTCTGTTGAAACAGACAGTTCGAGAGCACTGTGAATTTCAATAACAGATGCAAAGCTCACTTTACCATATGAGCCTCCCCAAAGTGAGAGACTTAACAATTTCATCTGGCAAGGTTTATTGCGTTTGAAACCACTCAACAAACTGAATTTTCTTAGCATGAGAGATAAAATGAGCTAAGGGTATGGAATCTAGATATTCTCTTCGGAAATAATGGGTGCTGCGTTTTATTCATATATGCATATCTGTATATTCCGACTTGTAAATGTGTAGAAATACGAAACTGTATCAACTGTTGCACCGTCTTTCTCTTTGCTCTCTGTATGTAACCCCATAAGACTCATTTTAATATTCTAAAACTTGTGCCTATGTGTCAAATGTAAAATTGATACACTGGGTAGAATTTTTATTATTTCAAAAACTCCTTGCTTGTTTATGGTGTGAGCTGGGATCCAAGTTCAAGCCTCAGCTTAAATGAAGAACGCTGCTTTTCTATTGGATTTCATATCATAAAAATATTTTGCATAAATAATAGAAGTACAAATATGTTTGTTTTACCTTTGGATGTTTCCCTCTATGTGCTCAGCAATCTTGTCTCATGCCCTTGCCATAATTTGAAATGTGACGTATAATCCAGAAACTATGATGGCTTGTGATAATGCTAAACTTTCCCCAATGTTTTATATTCTGGTAGCAAAATGTGATTTGTTGTCAAAGAGACTGAGGATAGACACTGTTAATATCTTAAAACCAAAATAAATCTTACACCATTGCTGTGTCTATAAATTTAGTAGAACCTACTTTGTTTCAATCAGCTAAAATTAGTCCGGAGCTACCCAAAACTCCCAGATTCTGTATCAGTGAGGTATTTACAACATGGCTTACTGGGCTGGTTTTGCTTAGTTCTCGCCTAGGTTTTCACAGTCTCAAGCACGATTCAGGCAGGCATTTCACATTCAGGCTTAAGGCACGGATATATGACTCAGGTTGAGTTGGGGACTTCTATACTTAAGTACAGAGGCTAATCGTAATTTTCCTTTCACTTCTCTGCCTTCCTGTCCATAGTCACTTTGGCAGCTGGTCGTCATTACAGATAACCACACAATACTTCTTGTCACACATAATACAAAGTTATACATTTCAGTAAAAACAGAGGAAAAATAGTACATTGTCAATAGAGCATTCAGTAGAAAAATTGCAGACCTTTGCAAAAAATGTTTTTGAGCATTGCAAGCTTTTTGCCTCTTTTATTTCTTTTTTGCCTTTTAATAAAAGAAGTGTCCTAAAATAATCTGACATCCTATCACAGGATGGGAGGGAAATGAAAACTTGCCCTTGAGTCCAGGTAAAAAGGACACTGTATATTGTGCTGGAAGAAGACTACAGGTTTTGAGGAATTTATTAATGGTAGTAAAATACCTGAGAGCAGGTGCATGTACATGTGGCTCTGAAAAGGACAGATTTGTGTTAGAAATCTAAATGCGGGTTAGAAAATGTTAGAGAACTTCATTTCATACTGTAGAGTATGTCATAGTCTGGATGCAGTTCTTCTGACGTTAGTGACTCCCAAGGCCTGAGTCACGGTCATGCGGAAAGACTAATTAATCTATAATTAGTAAGGGCCAAATCAAGGCTAGTGAGTCAACACCTTTTGCAGTTGCACATCTTTGCAGTTGACTACTGTGATGAATGGCTAAGCATGGGGTTTGTCTCTGGAGCTTTTTCAAAGCATCAGCTAGCTACAGAAGGGTCTGCTGTTGAAGGGTCTGGAGAGGTTACTGGATCATGCCAGCCACACGTGTTTATATTGGGATGTGGCACAGTTGACAGGAACAGACACAGGAAACAGAAATATTTTCCCAATAGCTTTTAGATGTCCAAGGTACATACAAAATCCGCATTTCCCGCTTCCTATCAGCATTGCTTTCATCTTGATTATTGGGTTGCAGTTTTTCAGCAACTTTTTTTTTCTTTTTTTTTTTTGTTTCTGTGTAGTGGCTATTTAAGGAATACAGTTAGTTATTATTCAGTGCAGAAGAAGGTCGAGGCCCAGGCAATAATCTGCCTTCTGGCTTTTCCAGGAATTTTCTGACAGTTTGAATGGGGAAGGTTATTCTTGCGAATCGCTGCAGTTTCTATCAAACGCTGCAAATCAGAGGTGGGCATTCCTTCATAAACAGAAAGTAGTCAAAAGTAATCCACAGATACTTCTTTCTCTCCAGAGTGCCGTTTGTGGGAAGTAATTTTACTACAAGGCATAATTTCAGTCATCCCCTGCCATTTCAAACACTGTGTACCATCGCAAAATATCACTTTAACTATAAAAAGAAAGATTACCTTATGGTTATGTTGTTTTTAGAGCAGGTTCTCTCTTGAGGCTTATTTGAGTGAGAGCTTTATTTTTCTTCCCAAGCCATTGAGGAGTTTTATTTTTCTTTCAGAAGGCTTGCAGTTCATAACAAATGATTAAAAGCATCAGTCCAAAGTGGGAATGAAAAGACTTCTATTCCTCAGGAATGAAGAGAAATTATATGAATTACCAGCAGCCAAATAACTGACACCCCATAAATTTCATTTTAGGACTGGCTTTATTGTTTCAGGGTATTTCACACTAAGTATTTTATTTATATTATTCATTATTACTAAATCAATCTAAGATGTGATGCTTTGTACGAATTCAAAAGGCTATTTCCATTAAGGTTACATCTGAAGTTTGTATGAGAGGCTGTTTTCCCTTACTTAGAAGGAAAATAGCAGTGGAGGACTCCCAAGGAAACAGTGGTGTGAAAACATATTTTCAAAATTCACGGTCAGAACTTTGCAGCAAAATTTCTTTTCTTCCCACCCCCCTTTTTTTCTTTTTTCTGCACAAGATTTTTCACGAGAGCAGTACTGCTGTGAAAAAGACCATGTTTCTTTCATTGTTTTCTAGGTTTCTTATTTTTTATTTTTCTGGGTTTAGTATCTTTTCTGCTTTATACTTTTGTTCAAAAATTTCTTTATTCTCTCCTTCTCCCTCACTCCCATCTCCAGCCTAACTGGGACCAGAAAAAGGAAGAGATGAGGAAAAGCATATTGAGAGGCATGGGAATGTCACTTTTGCAATGTTGAATATAAACAGCGGAGGAAATCTTTGTTTACAAAATACCACTGGCTCTACTGATTTTCTTTTTCTTTTTTTTTTTTTGTGCTACCAAATGAAATTAATGAATTATTTGGGTACACTTTGGATTTCTGTTTTGTATGTTTGTTTCCAAAGATTCTTCTGCAACATGGAGAAATGATGTTGCATACAATTAAATCAAGTTTCTCTCTGCAGGCATCACCACAGTATTGACCATGACAACTTTGAGTACCATTGCGAGAAAGTCATTACCCCGCGTCTCCTATGTCACCGCTATGGATCTGTTTGTGACTGTATGCTTTTTATTTGTCTTTGCTGCTCTGATGGAGTATGCAACCCTCAACTACTACTCAAGTTGCAGGAAACCAAACTGTACTAAGAAGAAAAAGTCGGTAAGATGGGAGCTTTTAATTTCTTTTCTATCATGTGTCTGGCTCAGAGAGCAGAGAATCATTCAATGACAGCCTGTAATCCCATGATACTCCGCTCCTCCAAGTTCTTCCCAGTCTGTGGTGTGATCTGCCCTGAAAGCTGATGGAAAGTAGTTACCCGCAGTAACAGTAGAAGCAGTTATGTGCCTGTTGAGTGAGGTCTGTTCCTAACAGAAGCAGCCTGCTGGCCATGAAGCAGCAACCCTGCCTACGTGTCTTTCATCCTCCAATTACTGTGCCGGTAGTCATAAAGGACTCCCACTGAAACAGATTGCATAGCTTGTTATACAAATATATGCACATCAATGTATATTCAAATGCATCTGCTATTTCTTGGCTTAACAGGTCTAGAAACATTTATGAACTTTACAAACGGGATTTCAATGTCTCCACTGGGAACCAGCACTTGTTTTTAGCCCTATGCACAAAGGGGCTTTTTCCTAAGTACAAAAAGAGAGGAGGTCATTTACAAAGGTTTTATACATGACTGCATTTTTGGCCAAAAAGGCACTTCCAGAAGTAACACCCAGACACACACAAAAGCTGTTTATTTAGAATCAATTAAAACAGGCATGCAGGAAGAATTGCCTGGTGTACTTCAGAATTGACTACAAGAATGAGAGGGGGCAGTATAATGGAGAAAAAAATCTCAGTGTAAACATAGGGAAGGGGAAGTGGGTTGTCCACTCAAGATCAGTGGAAAATCTTACGTGTTTGAGATCGGTAGTTGGAGATGTTGGATGCCATTTTGTGCAATGGAGGAAATAAGAACATTTGAAATCAGAAATACAAAGCCAAATAGGAAAAATGTGAAGGAGGAAATTGAAGAGAGAGAAGGCTAAATTCAGGGAAGAATAGGATGACTGAATAAGAGGTAACAAGGTATTGAATGAAGAGCTGTAGAAAATGATCGAAAGAAGAAATAATGAAGGAAAAGCTGAAACGAGTATGGAATTAGAGAAAGCCTAGAAAGCCATAGACTTAGTCAATGAAAACTCCATTACACCTCTAATAGCATCTTGTAAAAATGCATTGCACACAAAAGGCAAAAGAGTATTACCAAAAGAAATGTATGAGACAATCAAAATGAACTTGCTAATGATCAAACTAAAATTGCCATCCTATAGAACAACTGAATGAAAAAGTCATGAGTATCTTTGTGAGTAGGATGTATTTCCAGACGTGTATGAATATGAGGGAAAGCATGCAACATTGATGAGATTTAAGTTAACACAAGAACAAATGCTCACTTAGCTATTGTTTGCTAAATAAATAAATGTAATGGGTTGAATAAAGATTCAATGTGGATGGAAACTAGGTGTGCATTCTGCTGAGGTTTCATGCAGTTTTAAAGTGTACAGAATATTATGCTGAATATATAGAATACTCAGCATGAAGTGTTTTACGGACAAATGCGTTTAAAGGTTTGGTTTAAGAAATGCTGTTAAACATTAGATGCATATGAAGCAATAAGTATGTTTTCTTCTGAATAATGCTTTTGTTATCTCTATTTAAGCTACCTGATGTCAGTTTTGGTCATGTCATGGTAAGTAAACTATTTTATTCAGTGAGAGCAATGGAGGCATGAATGTATGGTTGACATTTACTTGCAATAATTCCCGAGAAAGCTGTAACACTATGTTATGCTTTACCTTGACTTCACTATAAATATTGTTTTGCTTTTTTGTTAAAAGGGCAGTTTGTTTTTGGCTGTGGCAGAGGAACATAGCTGCCTTTTTCTTTAAGGACTTATCAAATGATTTGGGAGGGAGAAGGGTCAAGTGTAGAATATTGTGAGTTATTTTTACCTCCGAAATTTTGTGTGTCTGCTTTATATAATATTGCAGTTTCTTATTACATTGTATAAAAAAGTAATAAGCACAAATTATGTCATAAACTTATACTGAGTTTTAACTGAGTTTCATAGAAAATAATTCATTTATGCATATCTGTAAAATCTTTAGCAAGCTTTCAGTTGGATTTTCAAATAATTTAGGCACACAAGTTTAACACAGTTAGTTGTACTATATCTACAAATGCAATAAATTATGTTCCCCAAACCTCTAGCTAACTATTTATATATGTACAGCGGAAATAAAGTTGAAACTGAGCACAAAATTGTATCTCTAAGTTCTATGAAATCTGAAACCGGAATACATACTATAATACATATAAATATAAAGCATGCAGAGGGCCAGTTAATCAGCTGGTTGGATGGCCTGCTTCCCAGCTATCAGAGCCAAATAAGAACAGGGACAGAACTAAACCATTGCTTTTGCATTTCTTGGTTTGGATATGCTGAAGCAGTCATAATTTACAACTGCTAGCTCCATGTTACTAGCTTACCTTTTACAAATAATGTTATACACTTTTTTTTTTTAATGAACTTTCTGACTTATTCAAAGAGCTCATATAGCATTGAAAGTCTGCTCGTTGACAATGAATGGTTTACAGCAAGCATTGCATTTATACACTTGCTACTGCTGTCACTGCTTGGACAGACTTTTCTGAAAGATGAAGCTAATAAGGCACATTGAATGGGTAGCAGCACTTTCCTTTTCCCAATTTAAAAAAAAAAAAGGAAAAAGATACACAATTAAAATTACAATAGGGTTTAACACTCTTAGTCTTTGTCAAGATCTAGTCAGTCTGATCTGCTTGGAAAGCAGCCTTTTTCAATTTTTTACTCCTTTTCTTTTCTTTTCTTTTCTTTTCTTTTCCTTTCCTTTCCTTTCCCTTCCCTTTCTTTCCCTTTCTTTTCTTTTCTTTTCCTTTCTTTTCTTTTCCTTTCCTTTCCTTGCCTTTCCTTTCCTTTTTCTTCCTTTCCTCTTCTCTTCTCTTTTCTTCTCTTCTCTTCTCTTCTCTTCTATTCTCTTCTCTTCTCTTTTCTTCTCTTCTCTTCTATTCTCTTCTCTTCTCTTTTCTTCTCTTCTCTTCTCTTTTCTTCTCTTCTCTTCTATTCTCTTCTCTTCTCTTTTCTTCTCTTCTCTTCTATTCTCTTCTCTTCTCTTCTATTCTCTTCTCTTCTCTTCTCTTCTCTTTTCTTCTCTTCTCTTCTCTTTTCTTCTCTTCTCTTCTATTCTCTTCTCTTCTCTTTTCTTCTCTTCTCTTCTATTCTCTTCTCTTCTCTTTTCTTCTCTTCTCTTCTCTTTTCTTCTCTTCTCTTCTCTTTTCTTCTCTTCTCTTCTCTTTTCTTCTCTTCTCTTCTCTTTTCTTCTCTTCTCTTCTCTTTTCTTCTCTTCTCTTCTATTCTCTTCTCTTCTCTCTCCTGTTCTTTCAGTATAAGACAGATATTAGATATTGAGCAGGGCCTTGTTCTATACATAAACAACTTCCATGTTCAAATTCTGGCATAAACTGAATAAAATAAGCAGTGTCTCTGACTCTCAAGATATCATCTTGTCTCTTCCAGCCTTGTAGTGATGCCACCTAAAAGGTGAAATTTATTAATCTTAGTAAATCCATGTTCAGGTAGCCCACCCCTTGTTTTTCTCCTAGAGAACACACTTATAACTTGTCTGAAATAATTTTATTAAGCATGTTTAACACTGCATCTGAACTGCCTTGTCCAAGGCACCTGAGAAGTGCCTTGCCTTGCCAGAGCTCTCAGGTGGTACTGGGCTGGTGCCCATGGTGCATACACCCCTCTCCTCCCAACTCAGCAGGACACACAGGACATAGTGGGTACCATCCACCTTCACCTGGTATCTAGTCACTTCAGGACCTCTCCTAGCTGACAGAGATTAAAGCAACCAGATTAATCTCTCTGTGTTATCAGGGCATTTATTTTATCTTCTGTCCTGAGCAGACAGTTGGTACAACAAAACAACAACAAAAAAAACCCAGGCTATTGATACATGAGAAAGTTTCCTTTGCAAAACCAGAGCACTTGTTTCTTTTCACTTACCAAAATCGTCTGGAGAGATCTAAATTAGCCTTTGTATTGGTTTTGCGTGGCAAGGTTTTGGTAGCAGGGGGGCTACAGGGGTGGCTTCTGTGAGAAGCTGCTAGAAGCTTCCCCTATGTCCGATAGA